GGGAGGGGGGGGGGGGGGGGGGGGGGAGAGAAGCAGGCAGCTCCGCAGTTCCAGTGCTCATGGGGAGCTGGCTTTCCTGCCTCCCCCTACTCTGCTGCCTCTGATACAGAGGCAACAAGGGGGTAGGAAGAGTACATGTAATCGATGAAAAGCAGAGCATTGCTCTTCCTATTCTTAAACATATCATGAAATTCACTTTAAACAACATTTTGTTTTGACTAAAAGTCTGATTGGATACTAAACTAAATTTTTAAAAGTGGATGTTACAGCAATTAATTTTTCATAACACAAAGTTTTAGTTTGAATTCTGACCTACTTTGTATTTGGCATTTTCAAATGCTAAGAGTTAAACATTAACTACTCAACTGCAAAGGGTTTAGGGTTTTTAAGTTTATTTTCAGAAATCCTCAAAATCTGATCTTTCTTGGTAACAGTATCCAATATTATTTCTGGGCTCTGTTTATTTTACTTATGCTAATGCATAGATATCTTGACATAACGGGTGCTATAAAAATCATTGCCATATTTAAGAAACCCCACCACTTAGCTTTATTTCTAATCAATAGGAAAAAAAAGTCAGTATTTGCCAGATTTTAAAGTGATGGGAAGCATTTTTACACTTTCAAAAAGTACTGCAGAAAAGAGAGTATTTTCAAAAAGCAGTATGGGGCAAAAATACTTTTACAGGAAATTTACCTCCTGATTTGTGATTTTTTTACTTTGGGGAGGGGCAAGGCTAATAGTCACTTACACTTAGGCCTTTTTTTAATAAGAGAATACGTATATAATTCTATTTGACATATGAGAATCTCATAACCATCAAAGAAATGTCCCATTTGGGAGGTAGAACTTTTAAGCACAACACAAAATAACAGTTTGATACAAAGAATAATAATTATAATAAAAAGAAATCCAACTAAAGGTTATTCCATTTATTTTCATTCAGATCAGCCCAAAGGATCTGTACATTTCATGAGGAAGCTAGGTGATTCACAGAGACAGGTTTGTCTCTGAATAGTGACAGCTTTACAATGGATTGGAAAAAAAGTCTAAATCATTAGAAAATAATGTTAGATGGTTCACCAGTTTTTCCAGACAACAGCAAACTATTCATGGGTATGCGATCCTGTTAAGTTACAATCTATGAAAACTGCTGAAAACTGCTGTACAGCTATTCAACAGTTAGCAGAGATGGAATTTTTATTGTTAACTACTTGACTTTAGTATGAAAAACATGATTTTTTTTTCTACTTCTATTCTTTATAATGCAATAGGCTCTATCAACCCTAGTCATGTATCAGGATCCCACTGTGCTTGCCAATGTACAACCAAAACAAAAGAACTGTCCCAACCTCAAAGAGCTTAAATGAGGAATAGCTTAGAGAAACCAAGTTTTAATTAAATCTAGTTTTGAGGAAGCCCCTTCTCTGAGTTTCCAGTTCTGAACTGACCATTTAAGAACATAAATAGCTTATTTAAAAATAAGACTAAAATACCAATTTTAAATAGTGCTAAACCCAAAATAGTTTGTTCTAAATGCATTCCAATTAAAGCCTACTGGAGGTTCAGAAAATTGATAATGCCATACATTTTACTGCATACACTACTCTATACTACTATGTCTCAAACCAGCTTTATAAAGTTACATGGAAACCTACTGATGAAAAAGCACTATGGGTACATGTACACTACAGAGGAAGATTGAAGCTCCAGCTCTCGTTCTTCCAGGGTTTGAATTAGAGAGTGTAGTTAAGACAGCTAATTCAAACTGAGAGGGGCACTCTGGTCCATACCGGTAGTCCTGCTTTCACCAGGAGTAAGGGAAGTTGAAGGGAGAGTGCTCTCCCTTCAACTTCCTGCAGTGTAAACAGTACCAAAAGCTGAAATAAGGTACTTTGACTTCAGCTATATAATTAACATAACTGAAGTTGCATATCTTAATTTGACTTTGTCCTGTGGTGTAACTGTATCCTATAAGAGCTACATAATTATTATAGTATTAAGAGAAGCACACATATATTGGAATTAGTCAATAAATTTTCACAGTAAATTGTAAACAGGACCTGTGTAAGGAGGAGTTGAGAGCAGTAAATGACCCTCTATCCACAATAAAGTTAACAATGGTCCTTGTAGGACCATTGCTTTGTTTTGTTTTTAAGTTTCTTTTAGTTAAAGACTAACAAAAGACTAGCCCACTTAACACCTTTATTGTGCTCTAGTATCAGAGGGGTAGCTGTGTTAGTCTGAATCTGCAAAAGCGACAAGGAGTCCTGTGGCACCTTATAGACTAACTGAAGTAAGTGTAGGAGCATAAGCTTTCGTGGGCAAAGACCCACTTCGTCAGATGTGCTCTAGTGTTTAGCCCTTTAATTACAGACAAGCAGAAGGCGGTTGCAGGGTGTGGAAGCCCCTAAGGAGTATTCAGCCGCTCTATTTTAAGCAAGCACTGCAGCGAAAGCACTCCCATTCCCAAGCTGCTTTACGCCAAGAGGTGCAGCTTTTCACGGAGTGGCACACGCAGGACGCGAACAAAGTTAAGGGAAGAACCAGCTCCGAAGCCAGGTACACGAAGCCACTCGCAGGGTTCGTTTTGCACAAGTCCGTACGGCCCAAAAACCTCGCACGATACCATTGCGCCTCCCAGGGAATTGCTGTTCTTGGTTAAATCCCCGGTGCCCTCAGAAGCTGCAGGATGGCAAACGCTTTGCAATGTCAATGGTCACAAAGCCTCCTTCCGTGCGCCCCCAGCCTAACGATGTCTCCCAAATAATAACCCACCCCCGCGCCAGCCCCGGGGGGGCAGCTGTTCCCTTCTGTCTCGCACGATACCATTGCGCCTCCCAGGGAATTGCTGTTCTTGGTTAAATCCCCGGTGCCCTCAGAAGCTGCAGGATGGCAAACGCTTTGCAATGTCAATGGTCACAAAGCCTCCTTCCGTGCGCCCCCAGCCTAACGATGTCTCCCAAATAATAACCCACCCCCGCGCCAGCCCCGGGGGGGCAGCTGTTCCCTTCTGTCA